GTCCAACTGGAGTTAGCAATATCTCCTGGCTGTGCCTGGCTTTCTAGGTGTTTGAAATGTGGTTCTGTGAAAAGACCCAGAATCGGGAGGTCTGAAGTCTGATCCTTCCTCTGCCACTTACTTGGCTGTGTGATCTTAGACTTGCTTCTCACCTCTCCAATATCCTTATCATGAGCCTTAAATAAGATACAGCAGAGGGGTTTAGGAAAGCTCCCAAGCACTCTACAAATGCTACAGAATTTTATTATTATTAACACACTTTACTAATTTTAACTCTAAACTGAAATACAATGCTGTCAAACCAAGACCTCTGCATTCAGTCTTATTTTTTACTTTATCCCAAAGAAGTTAATTCTTTCTATTTGCTGCCTTTTTGACAAGAGACATCAACACTCTCATCTGGGAATTACTCTCTTTTTATTTTCTCCTCCTGATGCCAGAGTTACTGTTGACAATATGTATTCAGGCAAGGTAGGGACTCACTGCATTTCACAATCAGATGCTATGCACACTACTTCCGTCAAAACAATTAGTGTTCATTTCGGTTTTACTCCATGAGACCCGCAGTGACTGATCAGTATAAATTATAGATGCATCTGTCCAGATGCACTTGTTCATTCATGCATAGATTTGAGGAAATTTTATTCTTCTCAGTTCAAAAACAGTCACTAAAAAATCCATACTTAAAAAATATAATTTAGCACATTTTCAACTCTGTTATTATGTTCATGTACTCACTCATTCCATCTGGGATTTGAGGCATTTGAAGTTGATTTGGGGCATTTCCAGATTGTTATATTTCCCCCTGTAAAATCTGCTGTCTTTCTAAATCATGAGAAAATCGTAGACATTTTTAACCGAAAATAATGAAATACAGTTTGTTTTCCCTCTTTTATTGTTTGTTTGTCTTTTGTGGTACCTGCATGCAAGCTTATTGTGAAACATACATCCTTTACCCTGCCTGCTCAGGAACTTCAGTGCATTTGAAGCAAAGCAATAAGAGCTTCAAATAAACAATGTGGATTAGTACTCTCTGGTGCAGATAGGCTTTTGATTGTTTAATTTGTTTCATATTTGTTTTAATGAGCAGCTAGAGGAACTATCAGGCGTGTTGCACAGTGCAACAAAAGAATCTCTATCATTTGTTTAAAATACTTTAGGTGGAATGACTCCCTTAAATATAACTGGGAGGGTCTATATTTGATGGATTTATTTACTTGCTTCAATAAAATTCTATGTGTACACATATACAATTGGGGCTTTTTCTCCGAAAGTAAATTAATCAGCGCTGAACAAAGCAATGAAAAGCTGCCGGGGTGGAGAAGCTCGGGCTGCTGAAGTGGGAGTCTGTGAACCATCAGGAGGACAAAAGCAAATTCCACTGCAGCTTCCCCTCAATCAGACTTTCTAAGAAACAGACATCTTCTCACCTGAGGTTTCTGCCAGACAGAGGTTGATATTGACTTAACCCACTGACATTGTTTTGTTACGAGGGTCCCAAAATAACAAGAAGAATAGGCACATTTCATAAAAACTATTTTTAGGAAACTCCGTTAAATGCTCAAGGTGGTAACAATCAAATGTCAGCAAAATAGGGGAGGTTTACCATGGATGCAGCCTCTCTCTGGAAAGGAAATATTAAATCAAGGTCTTGCAAGGCTGGGAAGCCAGAGGAGACATGGCAGGCCTTGCTCCCTGGGAAGCATTCTGATAGAAGCCACAAAAAACCATCAAGCAACTTTGAAGACAATAGAAAAGGTGTCTTAACATAAAACCTGCTCTTTTGTTTGTTTTTGTTTCTTTCCAGAAGAAGAAAAATGCCCAGATATCTTCATAGTCCTACCTTCCAATTTCCTTCCCCACTGTTCCTCAACATCCTCTTTTCTTTTTAAAAATTGTGTTACCTTTCTCAAATCCTAGACAGCAAAGACAAGAAGTAGGCCTGGAGGCCCTGCACACAGCATTGATACAACAGAAGTCTTATAAATCAGCTAAAAATCAATAATTCCTATATGGTAGTTTCTCCTTTGCAACCATATTGCCAAGGGACAGGACTAATGCTTTTTCTCCACCACCAGCCCCATTTTTCTGTCATAAAATTTAAAAAAAACTCTGCTTAGGAACAAATGGGCAATCAAAGTTGCTGAGTCAGTATTTCGACTATCTAATTTTATTACTTTACAATTGACATACCTTCCCTCTGGAAATGTTTGCAATTAATTAATTAGCAGTAATCTTCCCCAAGGGATGAATTTAATGAATACTCTCCAATTCTTACTTTAAAAAAAATAGCCTAGATGTATCCAAGCTGCAAATGTGTGGATAGTTCCAAAGTGCATTTTGAAAAATCAAGGGATCTATCTATTACTGTGAATTTTTATCACTAAGTCAATCTGGTGAGGACTATAATTCTTTTTCTAACTAGGAGTTTCCCGGGATGAATGCAAGGTTTCTCCAAGGTAACAGCATCAGCAGCAGCAGCAGCAGCTGTGTTTGTTAGTATTTAGAATGGAGCTTGTCCTCATGTTAATAATCTCTTAAGCAGAGGAGTCTCTGGTTTGTGGCTTCTTTAAGCTCCTTGAGCATTCTACAGAATGTGTTTTTAAAACAGGGTGTGGAGAGCTAGAGATGTCATGCCAAAGAGATCAGTGGCTCCCAGTGACCAGTTCCCTCTGTAAGGTGCTGGTGGCAAACTGGGAGTTGAGGCATGCCCCGTCCAGGGCCCCAGACCTTGCGCCACCTCATGCAAGAACCCAGAGCCGTTGCTATCTTCTGGGCCACAGGCTCTCGCGTTTCAACTAGAAAATAAAACTGGGCCCTTGAACCAACCCCTATGGCTCCTCGGAGGAGTTGCAGCAAGGTCCTGGGAGAGCATTTTAAAAGTATAAAGCGCGGTGACCCCGTTAAGTGAAAAGCAAGGCTTTCTGAGGTTTCTGGCCTGCAAATCCCACTGGATCCCTGCAGTGCCCACCGAAGACCTTCCCCTACCAGAGCGACAGTCCCTTTTCGCCCCTAGACGTCGCGGGTTGGAGGCTCTCAGAAGGGCAGCTGTGACCTGAGTATTGAGCCTTCAGACAGACGTGCAGTCTACAGTGCTCGCAAACTGGAGGTGCCCTGTCTGGGGACTAGGCCTGGAGGAGGCAGCCACCTCCTGGATACCAAAGAGCCTCCCCACGCCCCCGCCACCGCCCACCCATCAGTGTCCCTTTGAAGACCCCTGGGATGGAGTGAGGAGGTGGTCTGACCGTTGGGCCCAGCCGGGCGTCCAGGAGGAGCGCAGGGAATGGGCCACCCTCCCGGAGCGCTCCACTGCGGCTCTCCAGCGCCACCCCCAGCGGAGCGCAGGGGCTGCAGCCCGGACCGGGCGCCTTCTTCAGCCTCCCTGGCTGCCCCGCGGCCACTGCGGGCGGCGCGCGCAAGGCAGCCAAGCCTTGCCTTCGGAAGAGATGCCCAGGGATCTTAGCAAGCAGCCTGCGGATACCAGGGATCCGACCCGGCCAGTTTCCCGACCGAATCTGAGGGATCCTGAGCCTCGGCCTCGAGGGGGCGCTATCCGGCCTACTCGAGGACCAGGCAGCTGCAGAGAAGTCCCAAGGTCAAGGACTGGGCAACGCCAGGACTTGGAGAGTCGGAATCTAGCCCAAGTCCTGGGGAGGCTGAGGCGGGGAACCAGATCCCCGAGGACAAAGATGGGCGGGCCAGTGGGATCCACCGACGCTGCCCGGAGCTGTTCCAACAAGAGCCGGGCCTGTGGCGTGAACAAACTTTCCTTCAGCGCAGGGGCGGAGAAGCCGGGCTGGAGGCTTCTCCCCCGGGCCTCTGCTCTCCTCCACCTGCCAGTGCTCAGCCTCCGCCCAGCCTTCGCCCACCCCAGTTCCCTCCCCCTCCCCCGCGCGCCTCTATTCACTCAGACTCATGTCTCCCCTCTCCCCTCCTCCTTCTCTCTCTTGCCTTTCTCCCCCACTTTTCTCCTGTCTCTTCTTTTGTATTCTCTCCTCCCTCGCCGCCCCGGTTGCCTCTCGCCTCCTCCGGGCCGCAGGGGAGGAGGTGAGCGCGCTGCGCCAGGGGCCTGCGCGGCTCAGAGGGAGGCGTTTCTCCTACTTCTCCCGGGTAATTTGGAGAGGTTGTGTGTGTGCGCGCGCGCGCCTGAGCTCCTGGCGAAAAGGGGTAGGATTCAGCGCCGAGCTGAGAGGGTCAGGGTCTTTGACGTTCCTCGCCAGCTGCACAAACCTCCCGGAGCAAGTGTGAGTGTGGGTGAGAGTGCGCGCGCGCGCACGGGCTGGCTGCGCTTGGCACGCTTGGTGGCCCGGGGCCCCGGGGCCCGGGGTCCCGTCTGGCGGCTCGGGATTACCGTGACGTCACACTGAGCCTCTGGCCACCTTGGACTGGGACACCTCCGGAGCCTCACAGCCCCGCGCCGCGCCGCACCTCACCTCGCCACCACGCGCCTTTGGGAACCAACATCTTCTTCCTTTCCCTGCCCATCCATGGGCCCTTCTGTCTTCCGGACCCCACGGGCCGGAGGGGCGCCTTCCGGAGCGCAGGGCTCGGCAGCCGGGCTGCCCTCGGCTCTGCCTCCACTCGGGCCAACCAGGCGGAGGAACCGGCGCTGGGCACCCGCCACGGTGTAAGGAACTGAGACGCCGCACTGCTGGGAGCGCCGAACAGTTGGGCTGAGACGGGAACTCGAAAGGGAAGAGAGAGGCGGGCCAGGGACAGCCACCATGTCCTTCCCGCACTTCGGACACCCGTACAGCGGCGCTTCCCAGGTAAGAGGCGCCTCTATGGGGGACAGGGGACAGACTGGGTGGAGGGAGTGCCTAGTGCCCGGCGCCTGTCTCTGATCTTCCTCCTCTTGTGTCCTGGGGGAAGCCCGAAGGAGCAAGGACCAGGGTAATGTGTCACAGCCTCCTCTGACATCCCCAGTCCCTAAATGAGAACGTTTCACCCCGGAGTGCACCCTGGAAAATCCTGTGACCTGAAACACGGACACTCTGACCATGCGCTCAGTGAGGTGGGTGGGATCACAGGGATCTCCCAGTCAGGCCTCCTCCTATACAAAAGTCTCAAGTGGCCGGGAGTGTCTTAAAGAGAAAGAAAGAAAAAGAAAGAGAGAGAGAGAGAGAGAGAGAGAGAGAGAGAGAGAGAGAGAGAGAGAGAAAGGAAGGAAGGAAGGAAGGAAGGAAGGAAGGAAGGAAGGAAGGAAGGAAGGAAGGAAGGAAGGAAAGAAGGAAAGAAGGAAGGACTTGCAGGCTACGACGCTGTCCATCTCGCCATATTGTTGTTCATTTGTTGACCTGGACTCTTCTCCTACCCCTTCCTTGGGCGGGCCTAAGCTCTCCGGCTCCCTCGATTTTCCAAACCAAAGTGGATGTTGTGCATTGACAAGGGTTTCCTGGAAAAGTTCTGCGGACACCCCCTCCACTGTTCTGCAGCTTTTCTCTAGAGTTCTGAGTGTATTTTCCTGTTGTCTAGTGCCGGCTCGACCTTTGACCTGCCGTGTGATGTTAGACAAGTCTCACACTCTCTCTGATCCTCCACTCCCAATCTATAAAATGGGGAGCAGGAATGAGACGTTAACAATGGTCTCTAAGGCCACCTTCTAGCTCCGCCTTTGCAGGATCCTGTGAGGAGGGTAGGGAAGGGGGTTGAGGGTTTGGTGTCTTTAATTCCAGTTTCAGAATATTCACATTTTCCCGGCCTCCTGGGGCTCTGGGGCCTTAGCAATGGCATAGGTGCATCTATAAGGGTATTTTGGTTAAAATGCCTTTTATAATTCCCGTCCCAGCACCTAACAGAATGCTCAGCCCGGGTGGCATTTAGTTAATGCATAATGAAGGAATGAATGAAGGAGCAATCTGATTTCACCCTCTTTGCTTCTAGCTCCCGCCAGCGGGAGGCAGGGGTCTCTGACCTCCAGTGCCCTCTTTCTTGCCCCTGTAGTTTCTGGTGTCGGCAAGTTCCAGCACCACATGCTGCGAATCTACCCCACGCTCAGTCTCAGATGTAGCATCAGGCTCCACCCCAGCGCCCGCTCTCTGCTGTGCACCCTACGATAGTCGACTGCTGGGCAGTGCACGACCAGAGCTGGGCACCACCTTGGGCATCTATGGAGCCCCCTACACGGCCGCTGCAGCTGCCCAGAGCTACCCTGGCTACCTGCCCTATAGCCCGGAGCCCCCCGCACTGTATGGGGCACTGGTGAGTACAGGGGTGGAGTCCCAGGGGCATGAGCAGTAGAGACAGGTGAAATCCAGAGAAAGTCAAGGAAAGACCCACACCTCCTGAGGAAAGGAAATGGTTAGGACTGTGCATAAGGAGGACAAAAAAATACAGTACATTACAGTTTGCAGAGCTTGAACTTCATACTGTTTAGAAAACACTTATACTTCTATTAATTCTGTGAGGTAGGCAAGTAATCATTAATCTCAATTTATGAATGAGGAAATAGAGGTGCACAGGGGTTCAAATACTTTACCCAATGTCACAGGGATACAAAGGGTCAGAGAAAAGCTCCTGAAGAAGAGTAAAGCAGGAAATGCCCCAGCTGGTGTGTGTTGTGTGTGGAGAGGAGGGGGAGGGGTAAGTGATACAGTAATAACAGCAGCTAATATTTAACTACTACTTATTCTGCACCAGGGATTCTGCCAAGCATTCTGCTAGCATGGTCTTCTTCAATAACCTATAAGTACTATTATCCCCATTTTACCAAGGAAGAAATTGAGGCACAGAGTGGTTAAGCAACTGTGCCCAAGATCACACGACCAGTACCGGTGGCCATACTGGGATTTGAACCAGACCCTTAGCTACCACCCCACGTGCCCCCTCCCCAACTGTAGTCCTGAATTCTGTTTTTCTCTCCCTCCAGAATCCACAGTATGAATTTAAGGAGGCTGCAGGGAGTTTTACACCCAGCCTGGCACAACCAGGAGCCTATTATCCCTATGAGCGGACTCTGGGGCAGTACCAATATGAACGGTAAGGAGTGAAGGACCTTGGTGACTGGCACTGGGAGGCTTTCCTCCCCTACTGCCAAGGTAGGGTGGATGGGGGCAGGGGAGAAGGAGGGAGCTGAACCACACTTCCAGGCCACAGACTGCCCTCTGCCTGCAGTTCCTTGTTCCCCTTCTAGAATGTGAGCCAGGTTCTCCCCCACAGGTATGGCGCAGTGGAATTGAGTGGCGCTGGTCGCCGAAAGAACGCCACCCGGGAGACCACCAGCACACTCAAGGCCTGGCTTAATGAGCACCGCAAAAACCCCTACCCCACTAAGGGTGAGAAGATCATGCTGGCCATCATCACCAAGATGACCCTCACCCAGGTGTCCACCTGGTTTGCCAACGCACGCCGGCGCCTCAAGAAAGAGAACAAAATGACATGGGCACCCAAGAACAAAGGTGGGGAGGAGAGGAAGGCAGAGGGAGGAGAGGAGGACTCGCTAGGCTGCCTAAATGCTGACACCAAAGGTACTGAAAACATTCACCACTCCACCTTAAGGGTTTTACAAGCCCTCAAGCAGTTTGGTCTTTCAAAAGCTGCCCTGTAGGGTAGATTTTCTGGAAGGTCCTCAGACTTACCCTTGCACCTCCTTGCGTGTCTCAGAGCATTAGCCTGTGCACTGCCTTCTACCTGTAAATCTCTACACAACCGGCTTCTTCTTGACATCAAAGTGTTACCTCCTAAAGTTCTTCCTGACTCATCCAAGCCAAAATAGCTTCCCAGTTATTTTCTGTTCTGCCAGCCTGTTTGGATTTCCTTTGCCATACTTGTCACTGTGAGAAAGTTTACATAGCCAACTACCCTCTCTAGGATGCCAGCTCCAGCAGAAGCCTCACTCACTGCCATATGCCTTACACACCTAATACCTAAATGATGGCAGCCAGATAGTTGGCGCTCAGTAAATATTTGCTGAATTAAATGATATAACAGCAGTCACTTGTAAATATTGAAATGGAGGAAAAACTGCCCCCTGGTTTTTCACAATTGAGAAACTGAGATCCAGAACTCAGGCAGCATCATGTGGCATTTCCTTGGCTTGGCACGGCTCGCGAGAGGAGGAGTCCGCTAAAGGGTGGGGGCAGGGCTGGGGCAGGAATTCTTTCCCAGGGACAGGCGGCCAACAACCCTGGGGCAAATGCAAGGGGTGGTACGGCAGGTCTGGTGAATGACACCGCGGATGCCCGCGGATGCCCTGAATGCAGGGCGCTTCTTGCTAAAAGCTTCTCAGGGATGGGCATTCCTCCGATTTCCCTTGGGCCCTGGGGCTTTTCTCACTCGGTCTTGATTTCCTGCAGAAGTTACTGCTAGCCAGGAGGCCCGGGGGCTCCGGCTGAGTGACCTAGAAGACCTGGAGGAAGAGGAGGAGGAGGAGGAGGAAGCTGAAGACGAGGAGGTAGTGGCCACAGCTGCAGACAGGCTGACGGAGTTCCGAAAGGGCGCGCAGTCGCTGCCTGGGCCCTGCGCTGCAGCTCGAGAGGGCCGATTGGAGCGCAGGGAATGCGGCCTGGCCGCGCCCCGCTTCTCCTTCAGTGAGCCTTCCGGATCGGAAGAAGCTGACTTCCTCGCGGCGGAGACAGGCGGCCCTAGGTTGACCATGCACTACCCATGCGTGGAGAAACCGCGCATCTGGTCTCTGGCGCACACCGCGGCAGCCAACGCTGTCGAAGGTGCACCCCCAACCCGGCCTAGGCCACGAAGTCCTGAGTGCCATATGATTCCCGGACAGCCTCCTGCCTCTGCCCGGCGACTCTCAGTCCCCAGAGACTCCGCGTGCGACGAGTCTTCCTGCATAGCCAAAGCCTTTGGAAACCCCAGGTTTGCCCTGCAGGGACTACCGCTGAACTGTGCGCCGTGCCCGCGGAGGAGCGAGCCTGTAGTGCAGTGCCAGTACCCGTCTGGAGCAGAAGGTAGTGGGCCCCCAACGGCGCTGGGAGTATCTATGCAAAAGACACCCACCCACCGCCCTGCCCGGCAATTGTACACCCTCTGCCATTCCCGTCTGCCCAGGTCTGCCACAGACCTGACGGGAGATTGCTTCACAGCACTCTTTCAGACGGAAGCGTAGAGATAAGTTCTAGTACTCCCTTACTTTAAAGCCAAATAATAATAAGCTCACAGGGAGACTGTAATTTACCTAGAATCACTTAGAAATCCGTTCGAGAGATGGACAACCAGGATCTCTGCATTCGTGGTCCAGTGTACCGCCAAATTCAGCAGGTGTGCGCCACCATGCCCCTCTAGCACAATCGCCCTTGTCCTGTGCCTGCCCTTCAGAGGAGACTCGCTGGTCCCCTGCTGTGCTGCTCAGAGTTTACTAGGGTTGGGCAAGCACCAGGGCTTTTGGAGAAGTCTAAGATTGTGGGCCAGACGCACACCATAGATTTAACCTCAGTGCTTAAGTCCAGCTTGCAGCTCTCTGTGTGTCCCACCAAAACCCCTGGGAAGTTGCCCCTGCGGTCAACAGCTTCAGGTCCTAGACTGGTGGTGTCCCTGGAGAGCACTCTACCAAGGGCTCATCCCCAGGCAGGCCAGTGACTGCCAATCAGTGTCCCCTTATGCTGGCTGGTTCTTTCACTGTGTTAAGGACCTGGTGGAAGGGAATTTCACCCCACAAAGGGACATTCCCCAAGCATGAGGCAGCCTCCAGCAATTACTGTCAGATTCTGCTCTTTGTAGTAATTTCTCTCAGGATTAGCTGCTGGCTTAGAAAAGTGGGTTACACTGTTATTTGAATTTACACAACGGATCCAAACATTACCTCTGGCAAGCTAATTGCCTCTAGACCCTTTGCTTGCCTTCAGAAGAGACATGGCTGACCCAGAGGTTTCCTAAGAATTGCCACTAAGCGGCCTTTGGGTTTTAATCAACCTTTCCTCTCTCAGCAGGTTAGCGCAACGGCTGCGTTTTGCGAAAGAATCTTGGAAATGGGCCCCACGTTTCGAATTCATCTCCAGGTTAAGAAGCTGCCAGACCTTGCCAGGGACCAGGAGCTCTCATTTTGCCTAAGAGACAGACACACAGAAACCCTCCTAACAGCTGTCCTTGCACGCAGAGCTGGGTTGGTGGGCAGAATTGTACCTTAGCCGACCCCACGGAGGAGGTGGCAGGGCACCTTGGGGAAGGCCGAGTGGGAGGCTGGGCGAGTCTGCCCCACCCAACGACTCTACCAAGTCTCTTCCTTCTCTGGATTCAACAAGGCTTCCTCTCCTGCTCACCCCTGTCTCTCATCTCCACCACGCCCCCTCACTTTATAACTTCATCACAGACCCGGCTACTAAGGACCCTGTGCGTCTTCTCCCCCTCCCAACCCCTTGTGTCCTTAAAAATAATCAGTCCGAACCCATGCTGTGTGGCCTATCTTTGCTAGGGGTGCTTGGAGAGGTCGGGGTGCAGGCAAACATGCATTGCGGCCAGGGGTTCTTGCGACAGCGCGGCGTGGGCTGCATACCTCAGTTCCTTTAGTAGCTGGGAAAGAAACTGACAAGGTAACCGATAAGGTCGTGGCGACTGCAGCTCAGCGGACTAACCGCTGCGTAACCAATCCGTGGAGCCAAGCTGACCACCTCGCGGGTCATGCGCATGGGAAGTGGTGGGACTTGTCAGGATGTTTATCTGGAAACTGCATCTGTTTCCGGGTTCGTCCTTGGGTTGTAAGTTTGCTGGGGGGAGGGGTGATGAGGACCGCGATCCTCCGTTCGAACTGAACCTAACGGCGAGGTCAGGCAGCTTTCAGGGTCGGTGTGAGGCGAGAGGGGGCATTCTTCCCGTTTTATCAAAAGTGTCAGCAAACACTTCCGGTACAGGCCAACCAATGGGAACTGACTGGCAGGAAAGGGGTCTTTGTCCCCCTTGCTAGGAGTGTCGAGCCGCGAGGTTGGGAGTAAGAGATGTAAAGACGCCCGCGCAATGCTGACTCGGGGAGGCTGCCTGCGTTCGCGTCCCGGGTCTAGTGGCTTTGGCTTTAGCCAGGGAATGAGCGCACCGCTGCTAGCAGGGAAACAGGGACCCGGGACAGTGCCCTAGAGGGGAGCTCCGAAGAGCAGATGGGGCGGGAAGGCAGGAGGAAAGGCAGTGGGGTGTGCGCCCAAGGCCTGGATCCCTGGGGAGCTGCGTCTCCAGGGCCAGGTCCGGCCAGGCCAGGCTTTCCAGACCAGCGCGCATGCCAGATTATAAGTCACTGAAATCCAGGCGATCAGAGTCCTCCTGGGCAGGAGAATTGAAGACCTTTGGAGAACGATGAGGGGAAATGTGGAGGTTGGAAATGCTAGGGAAGTCGAAGCAGCCCGCCAACTCCTAGCCCTTCTTCTCTGTGGAAGAGACCGCTTTGCTGTCGGAAGGGACTTTAGAGATCATGAGTTACAAAAACTGCAAACCTCCTCATCAGATGAGAAGCTTAAGCCCAAACGGGAGAGCGAGTGACCAGTTCAGGGTCACAGCGGTCCGTGGTGGAGACCAACTCCAGCTTTCCGCCCGGTTCAATGTCCCTTTTGGGTTCTTGCTCGCCCGCCGAAACACCCGCCCGCGCTTCCTATGGGAGACCCCTCTTTGCTTTCGTTTTGTTCCTGGGCAACAGCTGCTCCCACCCCCAACCTCCCCAGGGACCTTCAGTCGCCCTCGCTGACCCGCGGCTTAGGGTCCGGAAAATTAAACTGCGAAAAGATAAACATTATTTCCAGTCGGCTTTGCGGGATTAAAGCTTGTAATAAAGAGCATTAGCTGGAGGTTTCTTTCAAGGCACTCTCGACCCCACCCCCTACTGGGGGGCCAGGTAGACCCCTGCGGAGACTGCAGAGGCGGCAGAGGTGTCCTAGGGCTTCCAGTTGAGAGTAGGGCCCTAGAGAGCCATTTCGTGGAGGGGAGAGTGATCCTTAGAATCAGAGAGTCAACACTTGGAGATGGGAAGCTGAAGACCAGATTGGAGAAGGGACCCCACTAAACTCAGTTCATGTGGCTGAGCAGGGTCTAGGACCCAGAGGGTCGGGGTTAGGGGGAATCTCACCCGCACACCGCCTCCAGCAGTTCAGCTTCAATCTTGGGAAAGGAGGCCTTCCCGAGTTGAGTTGCCCTACTTCACCACCCAGGGCCCCAGGAGGTTGTCTCTCCAGCTGCAAGAAACATCTCTTGCCTAGGTGGCCTAGCCTCTCCCTGCCTTCTCCAGCCCAAAGCAGGAGCCTGCAGCCTAAGCTTATCTCAAAGGTCTGGTCCTAGTTGGCTGGAGTCAGTGGGGTGTGAGAGGGACTGAAGGGCAGTCTGGGATCCCAGAAACCTGCTTTACCTTCTCAATTGTGTTACCGCCTTGTTTTGTGGCTTGGACAAGCCCCTTCCCCTCCAAGTTGTGCCACTGTAAAATACAGGGATAATCTAGTTCTCCATCCTGCTGCTCAGTGTCTCCTCCAGAGCTAATGGTGAGCTCCCGGGGTCCAGGAGAAGGGCCTGAGAATGGCACGTCTGAGCTTGTGATTATCCCAGCCTCAAGCCCCCAGTGGCAATCTGTTCCCACCATCTCTGCCCCCCTGAGAGCCTCCTGCAAATCTCCCAATATAATCTCCCAGAATCATATTTTGAATACTGTCTTGATTAAACGCCAGAGCAAGGGGAGGGAGGCTGCAGCCCTGCTCTCTTCGGCTGAGACTGCTGGTGCCCACAGACAGCTGGACTGTGAGCTCTGCAAAGTAAATGTTGGTAAATGCAGAAAGTTGAGGTTCTCAGGTTTGTAGGATGTATACAAATTGGGCCTCCAAACTCCTTCTATGGCTAAAGTGGCCCTTCCCTCAGCTGGGCAGCAACCAGAGGCTAGGCCCTCTGGAAAAGATGAGAAGCCACCCAAGGGAGCCCCCACAACCCCCAGCACAGCCAGTGCCTGCCTTTATTTATTTATTTCCTGCTAGTGTCGCTAGATGGACATTGGATTCACTAGATGATCTCTGTGGTCACTTCTAGTTTTAAGATTCTATGATCCTGTTAATGATAATAAGAACTTCTAGAGCCTTTACCATGTGCCAGACTCAATGCCATGTGTCTTAGTCTATTTGGAGTGCTATTTTACAGAGTACCATAAACTGGGTGACTCATAAAAAACAGAAAAGTGTTGCTTACATTTCTGGAGGCTGAGAAGTCCAAGGTGCCAGCAGGTTCCGCATCTGGTGAGGGTCTGCTTCCTGGGTCATAGATAGCACCGTACTGCATCATCACATCATGGAAGGGGCAAGAGAACCCTCTGAAGTCTCTTTTATAAGGTCACTAATCCCATTCGGGAAGGCTTCAAGTTCATGACCTAATTATCTCCCGAAGTCCTCTGCTCCAGATACCATCACACTGCAGATTAGATTTCAACATATACACTTTGGGAGGGCACACACATTTAGTCTCTTGCACCAGGTCTTTTAAATGTGCTGACTCATATGTTACAATAGTCAGAAGATATACTATATCACATCTAACAGTATGCCCCACTAATGAATGAGGAAACAGGCTCAGAGAGGTTAAATAACTCAATGTCAGTTATCCAGCTACCAAGTAAAAAGGCAGGCTGTATGCAAGACTGATTCGTTAACCACTAAGTTCTACTACAAATGCATTCTATTATTTTAAGATTTCTTTATTTAATTATTAAGCAGACCATCTATTTCTGAGACTCTAAATGTCTAGAGTCTATTATTTCATTCTCTGGACTCCTAGGTTGCCCTCCTTCCCTCTCCAAAATGTCCAATGGGAAAAAACTTGTGGTACCTCTTGAACCCACCCCTGCATCCCGACCAAGAACATCTCTACCTATCCTATTGCCCATATTTCCCGGGGACACACTCTCTGAGACACCCCTGGTCAGTGTTTGGCAAAATGTAGCCCATGCATTCTACTATCAAAATCAGCTAAAGATTAAAGAATCACACTAGGATGTGGGTTGAGAGGTCTGTCTTGTTAACAAGCACCCCAGGTGGCCTGATGGGCCTCTGATCTGCATAGTGGCAGATGAACCTTGAATGGCCAGACTCTAAGCTCAACAGGAGGGCCTTGGATACCTGCTGTTGGCCAAGAGTAAATCACATCCCAGTAACCGGTGCAAGCATTTCCTCCAGGATTTAATCTGGATTCCCATTCAATCTCCTCATCTAGTTCAGCTCTTTTTTTACCCCACCCAGAAGCTCAAAGATGTGTTCTTATTGGAAGGCGAGTAGGAGAACTAGGAGGCTAACTTGCATGTACCAGCTGTCTGAAGATGATTTAGGAATCCAGGTTTGGAAGCACCTGAGTAGTAGCCTGTACCATGGTGTACAAGAGAATTCTGTCCAAAAACATGAGCATGCAGTCAAGAATCTGTACACATTTGGAGGAAGCCAGCAGGAAAGAAAGACTACCTTAAGTGAAAGAAAGAATTGATAAGAGCTTGGCTTCTCCGCTGTGGCTGTCTCCTGGCACAGCCACTTGCAACCTTGGTATTAGAAAGTTCTTTCTTTTTTGAACCGAATTCCTTCTCCAACTAACTTTTGAAAGTTGCCTCCTAAACTAAAAAGTCTTAATCTTCTCCACAATTCATTCTTTCTCCTCCCTTCCATGCGTCCTCTCCCCACCCTCAGTGGGACTTGTTTTGTCCTTACGCTGGGATCAGAGTAAGAAATGGAGTCTAGGCCAGGCATGGTGGCTCACACCTCTAGTCCCAGCACTTTGTGAGGCAGAGGTGGGCAGATTGCTTGAGCTCAGGAGTTTGAGACCAGCCTGGGCAACATGATGAAGCCCTGTATCTACAAAAAAAACACAAAAATTAGGTGTGATGGTATGCACCTGTGGTCCCAGCTGCTCAGGAAGCTGAGGTAAGAGGTTTGCTTGAGCCCAGGTTGTTGAAGCTGCAGTGAGCCATGATCGTGTCACTGCACCCCAGCCTGAGCAACATAGCGAGACCCTGTCTCAAAAAAAAAAAAAAAAAAAAAAAAAGGAATGGAGTCTAATGGGCATCTACTGATTATATGGCAGAGGTCCCCTCTATTGACATAATTTTCTTCATTAAATGTTAAGTTGGAGCAGGGGGAAAAGGAGGACCAGTGGCCTGAGTCCTTGGGCAAGTCACCAAATGTCTCTGAGACTCGGCATTCTCCCAGTAAGTTGTGATGTGGCTCTTTTATAAGCAATATGATTTTCTCAATCGGCTGCTACGGGGATGTGTTAGTCCATTCTTGCAGCACTATAAAGAAATACCTGAGATCAGGTAATTTATAAAGAAAAGAAGTTTAAATGGCTCATCGTTCTGCAGGCTTTATAGGAAGCACAGTGCTGGCATCTATCTACTCAGCTTCTAAGGAGGCCTCAGGAAGCTTATAATCATGGTGGAAGGCAAAGGGGTAGCAAAAGTA